CCCCAAAACCCCAAAACCCCAAAACCCCAAGATGCTTGAATTTGAGCCATCAAAATAATTATATTAAATTTGAAACACTAAAAATGAATATAACTCGATATAATTTCAAGAAGTAGTTGCCAAGTATAATCAAGTGCCTCAATCAGTCTGATTTCATAGCTATTGACTTTGAATTCTCTGGCCTGAACTTCGACAAGGAGCTTGAGAATCTATAGTCAGACACTGTTGCCTAGAGGTATTGGAAGAGCAAGGAGAATGTGTCAAAGTTCATGGCTCCGTAGATGGGAATCTGTGCCTTCAAATATCATTAAAATGAGAAAAGATTGGAGTGCCACCCATTCAACTTCTACATCATGCCTCACTCTTACTAGGATTTATCAATTGGGCACAACTATCTTATTGAGCAATCAGCATTCCAGTTCTTAATGCAGCACGGCTTTGATTTTAATAAGTTACACTATGAGTCTATGGGCTACTTAAGTTACTAAGACTACCAAAAATACTTAACTATAAAAGCAGATAAAGAGTAGACGAAATAAATATATGACTACTAGTATGACTCACCAGATTGTATTATCTTTTGCAACAGTTAGTTCTAAGCTATTAAGAATTGGCTAGATGCAATAGGAAGTAAGATCGTAGACCTTGAAAATGATCCAGCAAATTTGCTTGAGATAGACTTGAGTTTTTCTAGAGGCAAGTAATTCAAAAGTCTTATGAAGAACATTCCCAAAATGTTTCCCAAGTATTAACTAGACATAGAACTAAGTATGGATGAGACAATAGGAGAAATCTTGCTAAAAATAAAGATAACTAGCTAAGACTTGCAAGATAAGAAAGCTAAACTAAAAGAGAGAGAAACAAACTTCGCTTTACTGAGCAAATACCTATTTTGTCAACAAATAACATAATAAATCACAATAAAACAAGCATTAAATGGGCTACTAACTACAGACTAACAGATATAAATGGAAAGTCTTATATAAAAGTACAGGAAAATATTACAAGATAAGCAAGAGGGCTAGCTGAAAAGTGTAGACTGGAAGTAGGAAGATGAAGATGCTGTTATAAAGAAAATGCTTAAAGATTTTTATACTGAATCTGCATTGCTTGATACAGTGGCTAATGACATCTTTAACTAAGTCCATAATCCAATTGAAGACCCCTTAGGCTTGTCTATTTTACCGTTATACATTGCAAAGCTACAGAAGCCAATCGTATAGTACAATGGCATGCTCGACTTGCTTCACCTTTATGATAAATTCATTGGCAAGTTACCCGATACAACTCTGGAATTTACCTCAACCATGAATGCTCTCTACCCTCACATATTTGATAATAAATTGATAATGAATAACAATAAGTCAATATAAGAATCTATGGCTGCAAACTATGGCTATTCACTTTAAGCTAGCTATAAAAGAGTTATCAAAGATGATTTTAAGTTTGGCTAGACGATATAGATAAACTCTGATTTCAATGACTATGATATAGACTCAGATCTGAATCACGAGGCAGGCTTCGATGCATTTCAAACAGGTGTGGTATTTTTCAAAATGCTTTCCTATATCAAAGGCTAAAAGGCAAATTAGAAGTGTGACTTCCCTTTTATGTCTGAGATTTTAAATGACAACAGTATGAATCTAGATAAAAATAAAGTGCCCTTCTATAATCTGAAAAAGAACATGCTGCTAGAAAAGTAAAATAGCCAGGATGATGACAGAAACTATGTATTTGTGATTGATAGCCTTTTAAATTCATAGAAAATAGACTAGGCTGCTCTGTAATAGTACCTTAATAAGCTATTTGGCTCTGAGGTGACTTTGTATATGGATGAGGCTGATGCATAAGGGCAGAGGCGATAGTTGATATTTATGACACTGTTTAGTAAGTAAGCTGAGATCAAGGCGAATGATTTGCTAAGTAAGAACGGATTTATAGAAATAGAGGAGATTTTACCTGGATCGAAGATTATAGGTTACTCTCACTATGAAAATCAATTGAGGTAGAAAAAGTAAGTAGAAGTATAAAGTATGCTTAAAGAGTTAGAAGGTAAATGGAGTGCTTTTGAGAATTTACAAGAATCTAATCGTAATTGATGTACAAAAGATGGTCTATTAAGGATAAAATAAGGTAGCTAATTAATCTATTTATAAATAATTGATAACTATACTAACTTAATTTCATAACTTAATCAGTCTCTTAATACTTATACTCTCTATCCAATTTAAGGCAAAATACTCATATCATTATTTCCTAGGTTTAAAGATTAGAGAATGAGCCAAACATATCTATACTGTTTGGTTCACCTCCACGAGCACTTGCATCTGCATTACTGCTTTTAATGGCCTAATCAGTTCTACTGTTAGTAATACTGTGTTTACAAAGCGGACAGCAATCTCCTTTCTTAAGCCATTAAATAATGCATTCCGTATGATACAAATGATTGAAACTGCATTCAAGCCAAGTAACTTCCATGTCTTCTGCCATTCTTTCGCAGCATATAGGACAGCTGAAATTTTCATATCGACTGCTATTTAATATTTCTTCATTCTATTATCGTATTTGTTATTAATAGTTTTTGTATGTAATTGAAGGTAAACGGACTGCTAGATTTAATTTATTATAGATCTCGTCATTCGTCTACTTATTAATCACTCTTGAGAACCTAATGAATAATAGGTAGGTTATCAGTAGCCTTATTATGGTGAAAATATCAGCTATGGCGAAAGCGAAGATGAGATCATTTTCAAATTAATGCTTTTTATCTTCGCATTACTTTTTGTCTTCGACTACATTATTATTATAAACTATGTAATAGACAAGCAAAACTAATCCAACGATAAAACTGATCACATCTATGAACATTAAAAAAACCTTGGTGGATGTTTCAGAGGAATTATTGAGTTGCATATATTTATCTGCCTAGTTGCTTGACTCTCTTCCTTTAAACTTATAAAATGATGAGTATTCTACATTCTTAATGGCCTTTAATACAGCAAAGTAGAACATGAATATAGCAAAACCCAAAAATATCATCTGAGTAGGTAAAATCGTATTAAAGTTGTTTTCACAGTCACTTTGTGAATGATCATGGTTATTGTCATTCTTTTCATAAACTGATACTAGAGCTACACTAATAGCCATGACTATACAGTTATAGCCGATATACACAAACTTAATATAGCGTGAGTAGGACAGCTTGAACTTGATGAGGTTACTTAGATCATACTCTATAGTATCGTAGTAATGAGTTATCTAATGTTGAATATCTTGCTTTGACAACTCGATTTTCTAATCCTTAAGCACATCAACATACTTGGTAGGCTTGAGTTAAACTACTGCCGGTCTGGCAGAGGGAGTGTTGGTATTTGATCTATCTGTAGAAAAAACACCGGCGTTGTTATTGGCTGTGTTTGAAACAGGCTAATTGATCTGCTCAGTCAAAACGTGGAATTTTTCTTTAATTACTAAGTCCATTAAAAGATTTTATTTTTGAATTTGTAATATACCCCAATTCTATGCTGTTTATGACTGATTCATGGGGTTTTGGGGTTTTGGGGTTTTGGGGTTTTGGGGTTTTGGGGTT